TATTTTTGTTTTCTGGTTTATGATATACTCGTATAATAATTGAGTATCATTAATATTTAACGTTGAAAATTTACTGTTAAAGGACGTCTTTTCATTTTAGAAAAATGATATATAATTTTTCTATTAAACTGAAAAAAAATGAATGTTTAATGGTTAATGAAGCATCTCAGGAACGATAAATAAGTTGATGCTGTTATAAATAACTATTTTTTTTCATAAGTTATGGATTTTTATAAAATATATAAAATAGTTATATATGCTCGTACTTGTACTCAACAGCCATCTAATAATAGAGAGACAAACAATTTATTCTGATCAATTTTCTGTGACGAAAGTATATGAAGTTGCTATAAAAGTCTAACATCAATAACGTCAGAAAATTTAAAATTAATTTTAATAATGTCGATTAATTTTGATTAAAATTAAAAAAAAAGTCATCGTATAAATTCAAATTCATCAATTTATTTTATAAATGCTTAATAAAAGATCCTTGATATCCCCAACAATTTATATGAAAACACAAAATACATAATTACTTTGAAATTATTCTTTAATCAATTCAACCAATCAAATATGCTCTTAATTTACAAGATGTTGATGGGCATATTTCAACTAGGCTTGGTTTTTCTCTTACTACATTATGTAATAATTAAAATTTTACACTTACACATTCTGCAGAATGTAAATCAAGTTGTATAATCTAAAAAAACCTCTCGTATTATTGGCTAATATCAGTGATAAATTCAATTTCACAATTTCGTGCTCAAATAAATGTCTCCAAGGAATTAAGATTGTCATAATATATTTTTGGCATACTTAATTAAATAAATAGTTTCCGCGAATTTCATTCAAATATTCAAATTTATTTCTTCTTGTTTCTTTTAATCAGCTTCATTATTTTCTTCAAAATGTTGAAATATATAAATTATATATTTTATTCATCTGCATATTTAATACCATTAACAAACTATTTCCGGTCAATATTATATTGAATAAATAGTTTAATATTGCTATGACATCCAACCAGCCTTGTGAAGGAAACGAAATGGATACTTGTTTTGATATATGCACTTTTTGACATCTATGGGATTTATTCTATAAGTATCGCCCGGGGCATTCAGAACCAAAATAATGTGTTCCTTAAAAAAGAAAGAGTGTAAAGATTTTTGGAGATTATCTAAAAATTTCGAGGTGAAATGGATAAAAATCAAGGACTTAACGAGAAACTTTCTAAGCATTGTAATGGATCACACCATGTGGAGGTATAAAAAGTTGACCGCATCTAAAAAGCAGAAAGGAAAAGAAATTAATAAGAAAAAACATCGAACGATCATTGAACTTTATAACAAGATCAAGACCAGATGTAGTATAGTAATTCGACTAAAGGGTGGAAAAACATTACTGATAAATGATTAAAGAAATGAAACAGCAAATTTTTAAACTAGATGAAGCACATGATGTAATAATCGAAATTTGAACAACACTAAAACTCCTTTTATATAACGTCCTATTAGAGATGGCCAACGGGTGCAACAAAAAACATACCAAGAAATTTAAAAAAATAATAAGAATTTAAAATAGCATTTAAATAAAACAGCAAATTCTGATCCTGCGAAACAAAAAACTATCATGCAATGAGCCAAAGGGAGAGTACATGAAAAGGCAATTGCACATAAAGTACCGACTGGAAAGTAGATAGTACTGGAACCGACTGGAAGTAGATAGTAAATAGAAATTGATGATTTTTTAGAAAAATTTGAGCGCGAAAAAAAAAAGTTAAACGGTTAAGTGATTTGCTCCAACTAGTTTACTTACGAAACGAAGAAATAGAAAACTTGGGTAGAAAATAAATGATATGAGAGATGAACGAAGAAGGAGCTAAAACCCTTCATGAATAAGAATAAGAAAGAGCTTTGTGAAGAAGCAATAATGAGATAATCCATATAGATTTTACTATTAAAAGAAGTCACAACCATTCTTTTCTAACTCATGAAACACAACGCGCAAATAATCATCCAAGCCAGGAAACCTGGAGATATTCGCTTGAATTTAAAAACTACCATATAAATTGTTAAACGGCAATTGCCTGATACTAAAGGTCATTGGGAACTGTGATGGATTAGAGCTGTTACCAAAATATGGAGAAACTTCAACCAATATAAATTTTTTTGTGTTTGCGGTTAAACGTTGTTTTATGCTAAACCTGCTTAAGTTCTTTTGCTTTTATGTGTGATTTCAAATTTAAATTGAATTTTGAATTTCAACATCCAATTCTCTTTAAAATTAAATCACCTCTCTTATTTCATTTATTTTTAAAAATATTTTTCTAAGCAAAATTGCATTTTTTATGTTTTTTGCAAAATATTTTAATAACAGTGATGTTTTTCTATCTTAAAAATATTTACTTTGTTATCTCCAATCAATTGATAAAATGAATAAATCTTTCAATATTTTTTTATTAAAAAATAGAATTTCACTTTTTATTTTTTTTTTATTATTTTTCAATATAAATAATTACGTACATGCATAATGTATATTGTTTTGTTTTTTTCGATAACTTTATCTATTCTACAAAAATACAAAGAGAATAAACAGAAAAATGAAAAACCATGAAAGCTTAGTAAATAAAATGTTTAAATATTAAATGGCATTATCCATGAAAAATACATAACCTATGAATAATATTATGTTTGTGTGTGTGTTTATAACTAAAACTGAAAAATAATTTATAATTCTATAATGTAAAACAAATATTTCAATGTAAATAACCATCGCTTATTGAAAAATATCCTTGCTTATACTTTACTCACATGTACAAAACTGTCACTGTAAAAAATTTTCATGTAAAACTACTACAATATTTAATTGAATCTTACCTTCAGTAAGAGTTGTAAAAAAATTGGGCAAGAGTAACGATCCTTAAACTAAAAAAATAAAATAAATTTTCAAAAAAAAATACACTAAGGCTGTTTTCGAAAGTATACTAGCACTAGCCTTTCGCACATGCACTTCACACTAGCACTTCCCGGAAATATTTTAGTGTGCACTTAAGTGTGCAAAAATTTGTGACAATTAATCAATTTTTCCGACTAGGATAATGTTACATCAGTGGATATTTCTATAGCATTTTTATGCCAAAATTATTGTGACAGCGCCGAAAAAAAATTTTATTTTAGCATTATTATCCGATTATATTTGTGAACGTTATTGCTCATATGTCAAACTCTTAGTTTTTTTTCAATTCGTTTATTTAGTTTAAATTTAGTGCAAAGTGCGATCATAAATAAAAGTATACAAAAAGGTTGATGGAAATTATACTCAATTTTTTAACAGTGTAATTGTATAGATAATAAAATATACAATGTAATAAAAAAAATACAGGAATATCAATACATAATTGAAGCGATTTATTACTCAGTAAGGGGGTAAATTTAACAACATTGATTTCAGTACTCATATATAGTGTAGGAGAATAGTAGTATTAAGAAGATTAAAATCTAAAAAACAAAAGCAATATTATATAAATTGTCCTAGAATATATGAAGTATTGTTATTTTTCATTTAAATTGATCAGAAATGATAATCAAAATTATCTACAATTCAATATTATCCCACAATTTCAATAATAATGAATAATAAATTATTTAAAGGAGTACTCTGTGTGCTATCACAACTCACAAACTCAAAACTAGACTTTTAACTCCGATTATCGTTTGAGATTTGATAAAATTCCGAAAATTAATTTTACATTGAATAATTTAAGAACAATCATTTTTGCATTAATAAATTCAACTCATATCAGGCCAACTTTAGACAAACAAGTGTCTATATTCAATATTGTTGATTCAGAAGAAATAAATGGTATTCGTTTTTATTGATATACATATAACAACGATTCTATATTCAATTAATTAAATTTCATGATTGAAATCCTATTTCATTTCATGTAGCAGCAAAATATTAAATACTGAATGATACCATCATATATGATGACAATATGAAAGGTAATAAAAATAAACTAAACTCCTCTACCCTCTTTATATTTCTGATTTATGGCTCCAAGTAAAATAATTTAATTAAATAGAAAATTGTTAACACTCATGACCGAAAATTTTGATTATGTAATTATTTAAGTTTTGACATAAACTAAATAATTATAGAAATTTATAAGGCATAGCAGATGTGACTCCGAATTCCATGATATTTACTGAACAGCCATCATCACTGAAAAACTAAGCTCCAATTGAAACGATTGAATTAAAAAATCTCAGTGGATCTGAAAATGACAGAAAATACTGTTCTATACTAAGCGCTTCTCCAGAAACCATTTTAATTCGCGTTGTCTTAATAATTTGTTAAGCATACTGAACTTTACCAATGCCAGCTTTTAAATTTAAGTCGCACATACGTATGTGAGTTTTACTCATAAAAGAGGTAATACTTGATTAGAAAGATATCTGTGGAGTAGGCCCGGTTATAAAGTCGAAATTCGCCTTTTTTTTAATTTTTACGCCCCTTCAACTGCTTGGTCCCTTTATAACATAAAAAATAAAAACATAAATTTTAGAGCATCAACAAAATACTGTCAAGATTTGATTGCTTGATTGTTAATTTTCTGTGGTAATTTTTTTTGGAGGATTTCTTGACCAAAATGATCATTGCCAATGAACCCTATACATTTTCTTGCACAATAACGATTTCTATGAAAAATTCAGCTTATATTTAAAAAATTTTTATATTATAATCTAAATCTTGTCAAACTTGCATGTAATCTCAAAATATCACTCTATATAAAATCAATTTTATTTAAACCCATCATATATGATTTTAATTAAAATCTTGAACGTATCTTGTATATAAAATGTCCTTAAAACAACAATAGATTTAAAAATATTTACTTGTATCTGTAGATTAACATATTTATCTTATTTAATTTTTTCAATCAACTTCAACACAAACATACATAAATATCATTTGTTTTTCTTTTTATTATTTTTCAGCTTCATATTGCATCAGCTAATGGTTATACTAAAGTTGTTGAATATCTGTTAGAACATCATGTTAATGTTGATTCAGTTGACAAAGATTTATGGTCACCAGTACATGCAGCCGCTTGTTGGGGACATGTAAGTTTATTTTTATTTTATTTTAGATGCAGACATGCAATGTTACATATGTATGTTCAAATATGTATGTATAGTTTATAATCAGTTTTTCAAATACATATTAATCTATTAAGGGTATAAAACACTAAAACAAAACAATTATAACAAGACAACTACAAAATTTTATAAATAAGGAAGAGAAAACAAAATAAAAGAGGAAAATTTTTTATTTACTTTTCATCTCAACTAAAGGACAGCCCGGTATTAACTTAAACTTGTGCCCTCATTTAAATTGATTGTTTATTTATTTTGTTTTTCCTTATTGTAATTTCTTTTTTTTTGAGAATTTATTTGGAAAGGACATAATAAAGAGAGAAAATGATGGTAATAAAAATTATTAGAAAGAAAGGAAATGGGAATTTTTGAGATGGTTTTCATTGTGCAATTTAATAAAAGTATGAGATTCTTTTGAAAGTTTTTATATTAAAGTTGAAGAACTAAATTGTTTTTAAGTTTGAACTTGAAGTAAAAATCAAGGGGACTTGCAAATTGGAAATAAATGAAAAATTAAAAAGAAATCCCATTAAATGAACATTTAAAGATTAAAATTTCTAATCAGTTTTATTCAATAAAAGGGAACTTTTCATGTAACAGTAGAGAATTCAGGGGATTTTTTAATATTTTTGGGATTTTATTAAAGATCATTTATTAAATAAAAAAAAAGAATATTTATGACACTAACTATAACTTGCCAGCTATATTTTAGCACTTGTGACAATACTTGTCACTGTCAGTTTACTTGAGGTTTACGTGATTGACATTGTCCTGTTGATTTTTACAACGAAAAAAATGCAAAATATTCAGAATTATATTTATATTAATATATAAATTATAACTGCGTTATACTATTAAAGTAAGCGAACTCTTAATTAACATGAATTCGACGTCAGTGTTGTTCTGTTGAACGCTTCCTATTAAATAATTTAATTATCACTTATTATTGGCACAATATATTTGTGTTTTTTTCTTAGATATTTGAATTAGCATTGAAAATATCAAAAAAATTTCGATAGCGTAAGAATTAGAACAGCCACCTAAAAATGTATTTTCAAATTTACTATGCCAATATTGGCCCAGAATTTTAAGTTGCCTCGAAAAATTCTTTTCTTGGTTTAGTGTTTCACGCAAACTTCTTTAATACAGCATACTCCGATTCTATCGTATATTTAGAAAATTGGACTGAAACAATTTCAGAAAAACTTTTATTATAATGGACCTTCTACAGAACATGTTCTCACATGACAAAATTTTTACACAATTCAACTACAATAAATATTTATGTATTTCTGAATTGTGTAGCAACTACATTTCGTTGTCAGGTTAAACAAATTTAATGCATTTTAAAGAAGTTGAACAAAATCAAAATTTTAAATAAATTCAAAATTTCAAACTCGTACAAAAAGACCTATTACAAAGTTCTATAGAAATTTTCACAGATGTAAAGTAGTTGCAATTTTGAACTTATATACTTAATTACAATATTTAAAATTCTCAAATCGAATGTGTAGATGCGAACAAATCAATTGCGTCAATGCATTTTGTATTAAAAATGTAAATTTTTTAAAACACAACTACATACCATAGTGCATAAAATTTACCATTTTAATGAACAATAGCTATTCTATTTTAAAATAAAATTTTAGTTTGTTATGCAAAACACATGCCTGAAATACCAAGAAAATATTCATTTCTATTACAATTAACCACTTTTGTATATGACAAAAGGCATCTGGTACAAAACCTACCAATAACTTTTCACACACACATACAACCCGCAAACAATTAGCATAATTTCTTGTATGTGGTAAATTTTGTACAAGATATTCTTTTTCCATTGCTTTTGAGGTTATTATTGAATTATTTTTGAACTTCACAATATTTCTTCGGGAATATTAAAATGAAATTGAATATCTTGAATAGTGTAAATTTCAAAAAAAATTTTAAAAATAAAAAAAATTTTAAATTCTATGCCGGTAAAATTAAATTTCAATTGTATTTAATTTTGACAATAACATATAAAATATTATAATACTTTTCTTCTTTTATAATAAAAACAGCAGCTGTAAAGAAATTCGAAAATTGTTTTAATATTTTATTCGAATATCACCAATCAATCACAAAACGTACATATATAATTTTAATGTTCGTAGGCGCTTAATTTAATTTAAGGCACATTTTTCCCTCAAACAGCAAATAAACTTTAACGAATTTTCCTTTTTTCTTTTTCAATTTAATTTTTGCCATTTTCTTATTCTGGAATAACATAGAGATGAAAAATATATTGTGTAAACCTGTAAGTTCAAAATATAGGCAACAAATGTTACGTTAAGCATGTCAATTTTCTATAGAAATGAAAATATTTTTTTCCTTTTCTTTTAGATTGATAGATTTTTAATTCGTTTTTAACAAAAATTTCTCTATACAATATAGATAAAATTGATTTATATATAGAAATTTTTGTATTAAAAATAAAATTTCAAAAGAATATTAAATAAATATTACAATTTGTATCGTAGGATATTTGAGTTCTTTGGAAATCTATGAAATTTCGTGCTTTTTCACTCTTAATACTCGTACATTCAATACAGGCAAAAACTGGAAAGATAGAAGTTTTTTTGCCATTTTCCATTAAGTTATTGTTTTTTCGACACTTCGACATCAATTTTAACAAATCGAAAATGGACCGCAGAATATTCTTTAATAAGCAAAAGAGTATCCCTAATAAGTTATAAGTTAATGGTCAGAATATCCCTTATCGATCCTTAACTAAGCTTTCTTAAGATGGTTAGTTAGTTGGTTCTTTATACAGATACCCATCAATCAAATTTTGACATAAAAATAACAAAAGATGCGAGGACCCTGCATTATAAACGAAAACAAAAATCAATTTGTTCTTTTATAAATCGAAACCGATAGATTCCTTAATAATGTCCTTTTAACATTTCTATAATTATTTCAAAATTATTTAATCGAAAAACGTAATCCAAATAAAATGAAAATCCATTATTATTTTTTTTCATTCGAATTCTGAAAGTTGACGTGTGAAATTCTCAAAAAAAATAATATTAAAGAAAAATTTATTTTGAAGGTGTTTTTAAGGTTACTTTTAAAATTTCTAGGAATTAAATGATTTATATCATTTTAATCACATTTTGATTGATTCCTCATCTTTAAGGATCAATTCGAATTTGAAAATATGTTTAATTTTCAAATTCATTTTTGAATTTCTATAATTGTTTTAGAAAACATAATAGAACTTCTTATATAATAAAAATGAAAATTATAGCTTTCGTATATAACAGGGTGATTTTAAAAATTCTCAATAAATCAAAAATTGGAATTATTTTTCGATTTGTGTCGAGTAATTGAAACTATTTTTTTTTAGGAAATTAAAAAATTTTGTATTACCAAATAAAATATTTAAGCGCTCTATAGTAATGCCTGTGCGAATAAAGATACAATGTAGAGTTACTATAAGATACTTGTTTTCACTCAATTTCTGTATTATAGCTTCAATAATTTCTAAAATAATGCCAATTAACTTTTGAAGTTGTATGACAGTTATCCTAAGTGCTCATGATACAAAATTTCAATACTGTACTCCAAGGTATGACCAAATTAACTACATAAATTGTATGGCAGCTACCACCAGGAGCGGAGAAAATTCAACGATTTTTATCTCACTAATTTTGAAGCTGCAGGACAGCTACCCGAATCACTCATCAAATTTATAGTATATTGGCCTCGATCACACCTAATTTAAAAAGGATTCCGCATTTACTATTACAAATCATTTGTAAAAATTCAGCGAACTTAGCTTAATTAGATTTTGACGGAACGAAAAACAGGCGGACGGACAGACGTGGTTTAATCGACTAAGAATTCGACGATTATCAAAAAATACAATTCAATGCAAATTTATATATAATACCCTTCGAGCATACGTTCGTAGAGGTATAGAAATGAATGCTTTAATATTTGATCCTAGTAAAATATGCGTTGGTTTTAGATCAGACTATTATCAACTCTTATTAGACTCTCTTGCTTAAAATTTCTTAAAAGAACCATTTATAATTTTAAGAAGAGTTTCGAAATAATAAATCAAAACTATTGGTAATGTGTCAAACATTTGAATATTAATAAAAAACAACAATTTTCAAGAGACCAATTATGGTTACAATCATGTCATCTAGGACATTGAAATTTAAATCTTCATATTAAAAACTTTATTCCAAAAATTGCTATCAGAAATTATAATCCTACCGCAAACCATTTTTAAATAAGATTTAAGATTTTTGATACCAAAACCATTCAAACATAATTTACTCCTCATCATAATCGCTTACATTTTCTACACAGTTCATTTTTTATAAGTTAAAATCATAAATTAAGAATTTTAAATCTTCTTTTCATCTAGCCCGATGTAAAAATTAAAATTCTTCATTGATGCTCTTTTATTCCCAACACAAAAAAAAATTCATTTTAAATATTCATCTGGGTACTTCTGGTTAATTTTTACTTTCTTATTTATTTTATTCAACTTTTCCACAAAAATAATAAACATTTCTACAAAATTCTTACAAAAATATTTATTTATATTTTAAATCCACCAAAAATTAAGAACAATCATAAAGGTATAGATACATCTGTAGAAAAACAAGAAAGTTTAAAAGAATAACCAGAAACCTTTTAAAATAAAAAACAAAAAAAAATTAAAAATTAATGAAAGTTTTTTCACCTATACTGGAAAAAATTTTAATATCCGCTTCTAGGGAAACCCTTCTTGTAATCCAAGTAATAAAAAAGAATTTAAATTGGTACGTGAAATAAAAATTTCAAGATTACATTCAGGACTTGCAATATAACATATATGTATGTATAGCTATATTTTCGTATACATAAATATTTAAATAAGTATTGAAAATATTATGGTAAATTTTGGATATTTGAGACCCAAGCATAATTTACACTGTTAAAATTCTAAATAACTAATTTTTCGCAATTCAGTCTTCATATTCGAAAATTTTTGTAAAGTCTTTTAATATTTTTAATAAGTATTCAATAGATTTTCAAAATTGTCCTGCATATTTAAAAATCCTGTACAAATAAAAAAATTCTACAACTAATAATGTCTTTCAACTTCTCTTTTGAAGTTTTCACGTTTCATTATAACTCTATAAGTCCAATTTCTGAAACTCTATCATATATGTTACATATAGGAGCTTGTAAAACTTATAAATAATTTAAGATATTAAAAACATAAGATATTTTTGAAATTTAATAAAGTTTAGCAACTTAATTACGCAAACTTTTCTACATAACTATTCGCAAATTAACAAAATTTAAAAAAAAAAAATTTTAATAAATTTTAAATGTAATATAAAAATAGTTTTGCAAAATTAAATTAATTTAGGCTGTTTTTATATATTTCGGCATATTTATACGTACACACAATTCAAATACGTCCTTTTGGCTATAATTTTTAGCAAAAAGAAAATAAAGGAATAAAACCACATATCCTTTTTGTGTTCTATTTTTTCTCTATTATTTTTTATGTTTTCCTTTTTTTTATTGTTTCGTTATATCCTTTTCAAATGGGCATACAATAAATTTAGTTTTATTTATTAAGGAACCTAAAAAATACAAAATTATTCTCTATATTACAATGGAAATTCAAAAAAAAAACTAAATAGGGGCTACAAAGGTTTTATGAAAAAAATAAAACAAATTTCAAATAAAATTTTCATTTCATATCAAAATTAGTTTCTAAATATTTCGTGGTAAAATTAAAATTAAATAAAGTTGGGTCAAACCAATGGTTTGTATTTTAGCACTTTTCCCTTCAACAAGTGAAAATTCTGCTTTTAAATACAGTCTATTTGTACGTATCACACTATTAAAATTATTTTCATTCATATTTAACTATTTCTAGGATTGCATATATTTAGGATGATGCATTCATGCAGTCTTTGAAATAAAGCAAAAATTAATAAAGAGAGGGGTTAACATAATGCTCGATTTTAAGGGTTAATTGTGTGAGTTAAGAAAAATAATTATATTTTTTAATGTTACGGAATTTACCGCTAGCTTTTTATGTTTATAGAAATTTGAAAACGTTTGCGGTTTTTGAAATATAAGGCGCTAAAAATTCAAATTTTACAAATTTCAAGAGGAGATAACTTGAGAGGGGGCGGTGGTGGAAAAAAATTTTCTTCTAACGAAATGAACTATTTGTTAAGATCTATAAGCCCCTGAAATTTCAAGCTTCTACAGGCTGGGGTCTAGAAGAAAAACGAAATCAAAAATTTGGGAAAAAAAGACTTTAGATAACGGTAAATTTGAACGGCCATTTTGTTTTTCTAAAGTTTAACTATAGTATATCGCGCTAGGGGAAGCAAGCCGCTGCCTTTATGCGTTTGCAAAATTTCAAAAATACTTATGGTTTCATTGCAACAAATAGTTAAAAAAGGCCATTTTTAAGGTTTTGGGGGGGTATAACTTCTAGAGGGGGGGAGATAGGTAAAAATTTTGTTCTACGGAAATAAGTTTCTAGTAAAGATCTATGTACGTACAAAATTTCAGCTTTCTATCTTCAAGGGTGTAGAAGTTTTGTAAACAGACACACGGACAGACGGACGGACGGACGAACGGACGGACAGAGTGAAACTAATAAGCACTTTTTTTCAAAAATTTTTTGGAAAAGTGCTAAAAAAAAAACATCTAAAATTTTTAAACAAAGGACGGGACAGGACGCATAGGTTAAAAAAAAAAAGTAGACTATTTTTTAGTACTCGTACGAATTTCATTTTAAAAATTTTTTCATTGCTAATTGAATAACGCCGTAATGCTTTAAAACACAAAACCTTGGCAATTTTCATAATAATAAAAAAAAAAGTTTTTCTAACAATAAATTTCAATTAAAATTTTGTGATCATGTCCAAAAAATTGTCAAGATTTATGGCTATTGTTTTGAAAGTAGTTATTTAAGTGCAATTTTTATAGCCAAAACTTTAAGCATATTGGGATTTTTTTTAAATAGAAACTCTTTTCTTCTTCGAAGTGAAGTATTTAAAAGTTCGTGTTTTTACAAATGAATTCAAATTCTTTAAATTTCCAATTTTTATAATTATTTTTAAGAATAAATTAGAAATTTGTAATTGTTTAAGATTAAATGAATCAAAGAATTTTCATTAATTTTTAATATTTTTAAATTTTCAGATGGAAGTCTTAGAATTACTTGCACAATATGGCGCTGATTTAAATGCTAAAAATAAAGATGATGAAACACCATCTGGTAAGAATATTTTATTTTCAAAATTTTTTCCTAATTTATAATATAACACTTCATTAAACTTAAATTATGCTACTACATTAATAAAATAATACTGAGAATATCAAGCTTAATATTCTTAGTATTAGTCTGTGTGGTAGAACCCATATTTTCTCAGTTTAATAATTTTATAACTATAAATATTCGTTTCCGGTATGGACATGTACATATATATATTCTTGCTCAGCCATGTCCGTCCTTCCGATCACACGATAACTCAAAAACGAATAAAACAATCGACACTTTCACAAGTTTTTTCTTTTCCACCAAGGACGGCTGCTATTGTAATTGGTCCAATTCATTTGTGTGTTCAATTATAGATCAGACTTATCCGTGCAGTTTCTATAGAGTGGTTTGACAGGTTCGAGTACTATTAGCTAATCTAGTTAATTATAATATCTAACTATAATATCTAGCTAATTCTAAATATTTCAAAAAACAAGTTTTAAACTCAAATTGCCAAGGTTCACGATATAATTCGATCGGTTTATAAAGACTGAAACACTTTTACTTATTTTAAAAACATTTTTGCACATTTACTCTTTCGATTTTGAACTAAATCAACTATATGTAAATTTCCCTTACTGTCGCAGAAATATTGAAATTCTATTTATATTTTTTCCTATCAAATATAATTAAATGAGTGAATAAATATATATAAGTATTACAATTTTCATACACTTAATTAATATAGTTTTAATTTTTTTGTAGATATTTGTGAGGATCCTGAAATTCGTGAACGTATAGAATTATTAAAAACTGAACAGGAAAGTAAAAGATTGGCTGAACAACAGAGACGAAGAGTACGTCGATCACAAAGCAATAATACAAGGTATATACAAAGATATTTTTATTAAAAATTGTAGAAAAATAGAAATTTTTCAAGGATTAGCGTAGAATTATTGAAATAATTTAAATAATTCCGTGATTCTGAGTAATTTTTATTTTTAACAACTATATTTTTCCACTTCATTCCGTTTCGGCTCAAGAGTTCTTAAGACTAGAGTTAGACTTTCTTTCCTCTTTGCAGTAAGAATTTATTAACATTCCTTAAAAATACTTTACTTGGTGAATATGCTGACATTAAAAATATGATGAACACTATATGAAGAAAAATAATTAACCATTAAATGACGAACTGACATCTTGATTTTCATTATTGTGAATAATTCCATGTCGTGAATAAATATACAAATATGTATAATTGTATTACAGTGTTATTGAATTAGAAGAGTTTCACATCGCTACACTTATTTTGCGAAAAATAATCTTAAATTTAAATAAAACACAAATTTTAATAAAAAAACTTGTAAAATTTATAAATAAAATTCAAAATTTTTTCGAAAAATTCAATCCTTCCATACATACTTACAATAATATTATATTTTAATTTATTTTATCAAAAATGACATCCAGAAATTTTGAACTGATTTATGAAATTTCCATTGAAAACCTATTGATATTCAAAATAGATCAGATTTTTACAAAATTATTCACATACGTATTCCCATATTTTATTTACTATGAATTTATTTGAAAACTTTCACTTTGGTTTTCTTCAGCATATAGATTTGTGTGTATGGTATATAGATTCGAGCATAATACCTATTATACGTATATTGTAAATCCTTCAACAAAAACAGGATATTAAGTTTTCAATTCAATAAAGAAGAGTGAAAAGAAATAAAAATTAAAAATTCATATTACAGTGAATTGTTTTTTGTTTTTTTTTTAAACCACATCGAGAATAAAAAGAAGAATGGAAGACCTTTTGAATATTTTCGAAATTCATCCGAGTTCATTCGAATATTTCATATATAATTCAATCAAAAAAAGTCAAAAAGTTCATACTATATGTGGTTATTTAAGTGTGGCTGAATAGAATTGAAAAATAAAGGATTAGGGATAGAAAATGATTAAAGAAAAATCTTCAAATACAAAAATTTATTTCTTTAAAATTCAAAAAACTGTTATACAGAATATATATATTTTAAATATATAGATGTATAGGATGCCAACTAACTCTCCAGAATTTTTATAAAAATAAAGAGTTCAAAATAACCTTATGTACCTTAAGAGTACGAGTACTACGTGCCAAGAGTATTTCAATTTGAAATAAAAATAAATCTTTGCATACAAATGCAAATAAAATAATTTTAAAGTTTTTTATGCAATTGAATAAACAGAAATTTTTCTACATTAACTTTTGTGTTTGAAAAAAAAGAAAACGGAACGATGTAAATGGACCTCAGACATTTTAACTTTAAATTTTCCTTGCTATAACAAAAAAATTCAAAAAAATTCAAAAAAATTAAATTTTATCTTGAGGTCAACAAAAAACAAAATTTTAAATTTATGAAAATTTCTCCAATTTCTTTGGTATAATTAAAACTAAGCTAAACATTTAAGGTTAGCTAAACTAAAGATTTAAGATTAGCTAAATTTTAAGCAAATTAAACAAAGCTAACACGAAGTTACTATAGAAAAAAAATTTGAGTAAAAATATATTTTTCCGTTTTACGCTATAGTCAACATATTGAGTAATTTAGCACAGCTTCTTTGGTATATAGAGAGCGAAAAATTCATAACTCAAATTAATTTTTTTATTTAATATTTTTTTTAAATGCCGAGCTGTTCACTTGCAATTGAAAAGCTAAAAAAGTGTAAAAGAAAATTTTTTTGTTGAAGCATTTTCTCTCTCTGCTTAGCACTAAAGTATAAAAAATTAACTTATATGAATTTAAAGAGACCGGAAATGTACATACCAATATAAAACAGAATTAATTCAAAGGAATATTTACAGTGAGCATGGTACAGTGGTTATTGCACAGGTCCTTTAACAGAAGGGTCTCGGGTTCAAAAGCCCAGTCAGGTCACTATAAAAATTATATTCAATATTATATAGCCTTATACAAATTACATTATACTATACATATTAACTAATTACTATATTTCAATAATATCCAATAATAAAATAGTAAATATCAATAACCTTAAATATTTAATATAAAACTACGGTAGGCTCGTCACCTGCCTTGTCAAACTCAATGACGTAAGAAACTACCCTATGTTCTTCCCACCAGCCCTATGTTCTTCCCAGGAGCCGAGGTAAAAACAAAAAGAAACAAAAGTTTAAAAGAAACATTGTTTGAAATCAAGCTTTCATATTCTAGATTTCGATAAGTGTAAGACGTTAATTAAGTTCTCCTGTTAATTAAACTTTTCTACTGAAAAATTTAAAATTTATTTTAATTAATATTAAATAATTTTCTATTTCCTTAAATAAATTTTAAATAACAAAAAAAAAAAAAATTATTATACATTTCAGAGCCCAATCGGTTCGTAGAACTTCATTACGTGATAAAACTTTAACAACCAAAAAGGATGCTGTTGAAGAAACAAGACTAAGATTACAAGCTCAAGAGGTAAATTCAATAAAACAAAATTTTTTAAAATATTATTTTCTACCATAATATTTACAATTTTAATATTTAAATATAAAAAATAATTTTTAAGTTCTTAATCTTTAAATTTTTACAATATACATAAAAATTTCAAGGATCCATTATCCTCTTTAACCAATATTCTCCGAAATAACAAAAAAAACAAATCGGAAATAATAACAAACCAAATTTCCTTCAACGATTTTAAATTGTTGCTACGAGTATATATATAGAGGAAAGAGAAAAAATAACGGAGAAAACGAGAAAAAAAATGAACAAACGATTATGAACGCATTAAAAAAACATCCTTAAAACATTTTCCGATAATAAAATTCTGATTTATTTCTTTGTTTTTATTTAAATTGTTCTTGATCCTTAATTTCTAAGGAAATTTAAATTTCTTCTTTTTCCATTTTCTACTATCCGAAATAAATATTAAGGATTTTTATGTTATTCTAATTGAAGAAGGAATCTTGATAAATTTTACTTATTTGTCTTTGCTTTTTTCACTCCCGTTTTAATAATACATATGGATGTGTGTATGTATGTATTTAAATTTTAAATATTGATTGGCTGCCATTTATTTTATATAACCGAGCAATTGGTTTTAAAAAATAATAAAAAGAGTTTTACTTTATATAGGGTTGACTATATATGCCTAAGGATAATGTCCCGGCTCTATTTTAACCGTTTTAATACTCTAAGTCTCTATAAAGCAATCACAAAGGAATAGTTGAGATGAATTGTAGTATCCATTTATTCTGATAGATGGCTTTATATTTTTTGGAGAGAATAATGGAAATAAACGTCGAATAAATATTTAATATAAATTTAGTCAAAAATTTCATTTCTTTATAACAAGATTTTTACAAAAAGCAGCGTTCAATTTACAAAATACTCTTGAATATTTTGACGTTGTTAAGAAGACTATGTACCCTCTTAAACGAAACGCAACGTAAACATTGTTTACAATTTATATTGCGTTTGAAAATTTTTTCAATAACTTATAATCAAAATTCTTAATAATTCTTAATAATTCTTAAAAACCAGCTCTTTAAGTTTCTCTTAAAATTTCACGATTTTGTGAACACTAATTATTTTTACGAATTTCGTAAAGCGATAAAATGAGAGAAGGGGAAGATGTGGAACAAAATAACTAAGAAGCACTTTTTTCATTACGTAACATCCAAACAATTTCATTTGCATTACTATCAAATTCGGGTTAAAAATTTTGTAATACAGTCGTTCTTCTCATTAATCCTATCTGTTAAAACATAACCTATAATATTATTTTAAGAAAATAAAATTATCAGAGTGAATCTTAAGGAAAAAAAAAAACAAGAAAATAAATTCAAATTTTGAACCAGACAGAAATCGTGTTTGATTTTATCTTTCTTTACAAATTTCCTTCTTAAACATTTTTACTCTAATTGTTAGCCCGCTTAATATTTTTATATACAAAATTATTTAAAGTACATACTAACAAAAAAAAGTATTAAGAAAAATGTTATATTATTTACAGAAATATAGATTTCGCACAGTTAGTAGAAGATTGTGGCAAAAAAATGCAATGATTAGATTTCAACTTTGGGTTTCAAGTTTCCAGTGACCCTGAAGTTAGAGACGCTAAGCAATTTGTTTGATTTAATTTGTTTATTCATTTTAGTACAAATTAGCTGCTTATATGTTTGCCCTAAACTCGGTATAAAATTTAAATAATTTAAACAAATTTTTAAATAGAATTTTCGTGAAATTTAAAAAACAAACACCAATTTTATTGCAGTCTTCTAATTGCGGGTGATAGATGCACACATTACAACATACAACAATTCATTCCTTGTAAAATATATTTCATTGGTGAATTTTATTTCAATTTGCTTTTATTAATTACAAATATTTGACCAAGTAAAATTAATAAATAATAATTAATGTATGCAACTAAAGAAAAAAAATTGTTTAAAAAATATTTTCGCAAATTTAATTAATATTTATGCCTACTTACATCTGTGTACGAAACACAATTACATACATTGGTAAATGCTTTAATGTTTAGGCAATGCAACGCTATAAAAAAAATTTTTGGTTCGTTACTTTCGCTGTCATTTTTGCAATTAGAGAATTAATCTTTGTTATATTATTAAAGAAACGCAATACTATAATTAAGTAACCCATAATTAAGTGTTAAAATAATATTCATCATTAAATCCCACTATAATATTATTAAAGCGTCGACTTTTTAATATAAATATATCATAAATTTTAATTTAATATACCAATACAAATATTACCCAATCAGCCTTTCTTGTATCAACACAATAAAAATTGCAATTTGTATTAGTAATAAAATGAATGTCTCGGTTAGCGGATAGTCTCAGGAATAGTCAAGAGATGAGAGTTATCAAGCAATATATTAAAAAATTGTTGAACAATTGAACAGTGTAATGAAGGCTAATCTATTTTGCAGATAAAATCTGGATTTTCTTAAATGCGAAGCAAACATCATTGAAAAGAGAAACTTTAAACAATTTTTCGGCGTACTAGCTATTGAGTTGTCGAAAACTATTGCCCTTCAAAATCGATGAACATTGATATTTTAAAGAAACAGTTAAATGCGATGCAGGACTGTAATTACATAAAAATATTCGTACGTAAAGATTTTTTCATTCCACATAATTAACATTTTACCAACCATTGCCGATTTATTGTTGCAAAGTGCATATTAGAGGAATTATTCATTGACTGCATTTTATAACAATTTCTTTCAACATCTGATTCTCGTAACATCTGAAGCCATATACATAGTTCAATTTATATTTGTGTAATAGAGATGTAAGAATTATAGTGCAATAATTTTACAATATTCACTCACAATTTTACGAATCTTACACGACCAGCTGAATTTTGATAATATTTTGTACGACTACAAAATGCTTCTAGGGTAAATTTATTTATTTCACATTCGCGTGCCTTAATATCTTCAAATTCGCCTTCATAATTTTTTGCTACCTTCTTGGTTTTTTTATGCAATTTATTAATGCGATTTTTTAAGAATTTATTAAAAATAAAAAAAAACAAAAGTCATTTTCAGATTTCTTTAATTAAATTTTAAATTCTTGTTAATATTAATAAATAAACCAAAAAAGAAAAAGGAAAATCTGGCAACAATTTCAATGTAGACAGAATAAATTTAGTTTTATAAGTAATTTATTGTCGAATAAAATTTCACATTGTACAAGCATTTATGTATGCATGTATGTATAGTTAATTTTAAATGGTTCACTGATTTTTTTTTTTACCATTTCTACCATTCTTAATCATTTTAAAAAAAAATTAATAATATTTATGAAACTAAAATATAAATATTTTATATACAAAATCATTGATAACAAAAATTACATTTAGTTTATCGAAAATTCAAGAAGACACCATTTCGATGTGGTGCATTCGCGCGTTATGTCCGAAAACACTGAAATAAAAAATTATTTAATACGATTTTTTTTTAAATAATATAGAACGTATATTTGTATAGTGATAATTTGCTTTTATTCATATTATTACTAAAATAATTAAAGTTTGAATATTAAATAATTTTTTTAATTATTATTTTAATTAGAAGAATTTAAAAATTTTGGATATTGTCATATATTACCTAAATTAATAATTAATATTAGTTTGTTTTAATATTAGTTTTAGAACAAATTCTTATGTGGATAATTTTGCAAATTAAAACAATAATTTCTATATACTTTGGCTATAATTCTTGGCTTCTTTGTCTTTTAGGAAAAATACTCTTAAATATTAATTTCCTTTGGTTAGTAACTTATTTATCTGCTTGTATAGAGTTAGCACAGATGCAGCCAGTTAGGGTTAAATATAATTTTTCGTTTTTACCACACACGCACAAATACAAATTTAATTAGGGAGTGTTTAATAAAATAATTACAGATGCGTAAGAAAAAAGGAGGTGTTGAAAATACATAAATAATTTTGTTAATCGTTCATATAGAAATCAAACGATTTATTTAATATTAAATTCAAAAAATATGCGCATTTTTAATAAATATACTATTAATATTTCAACGTGACAAGTAGGATGAGTTAAAAAATATTGCTTCTTCATATACGTTTTGCCTCTTTGAAAAATTAATATTAATTTGAAAAGAATTTATAAAAAAAAAATTATTTTTCTTTCACAAATTTATTTGCCTATGGGCGTCTACCAAAACTGCAAAATTTTTACGCAGAATATGCAATCTACCTTTTTTTAAACATTTTGGCAATCTACCTTTTTTTAAACATTTTGGTAAAGAAATATAATGTAGCTTAGCAATTCTACTTTTATTACAAAAAAAATCAGCTCCCTTTAATTACAAAAAAAAAATAATTTCCCTTTACATTTTGATGTTTCTCTCCTATTCTGCTTTCAATACATACTGAAATTTTTGTTTGCAAAAATATGTCAAGTTGGCGTCAATTTCTCTTGTTTTTGACATAATGGTACAAAGTGAATTTAATACATTCTTACTTTCGTTAAAAATTCAGATTATATTAAAATTAAGAATGTCAAATTGATTGCAGATCTTTTATTTTGGTAGACGGGGTATATTACTTTTGAAAATGTTTAATACAAAATATTTCATACGTTGGAAAAATAACCGTGACTACAATAATAATTTGTTACTTATCATAGAGTCCAAGAAATTTTAAGCGACGCTCGCATGTCTTTGACTAAATTTTTGTAAATTAAATATTCAATTTGTTTCACAATTAAATCCCTAAATAAGTAATAGGAATCCCTTATACGATCATGTACATACGATCGAGTTCTGCTAGTATTGCTCTAAAATATGACGACTTTAATAGAAACCACAAGTTTTATTCAGATATTCAATTCATTTTACCTTCTCTAAACTAATTCGTTATCTTACAATTCTAATAAAAATTGTATAATAAAACAAGGAAAATTGCATTCTAACCAGCTA